AATCAATTACAACTGAAATATAAATTTATTGTTCGTGCTTGTTGTTGGTGCTGATTTATATTTTACTCATACATATACAAATTGACTAATATAAAAAAAAAAAAAAAAAAAGTATTTACTAACTACATTCCACTATACATTGTAGATTACTTCTGTACAATATCAAATATATGATTATTTTGATTTATAACCTGTAGTTTCTAGTTATATCAGAAAGGGAACCAAGTCTACAACAAAATGGCAACTTTATTTGATAAATCAGAATATCAGGGCCATAGGAAGAGGAAATGTGGTTTGACCCAAAAGCAGCAGTTGTCATGATTAGGGCCATGTCTCTTACTATCTTTATAAAGATTTCACTTTAAATAACTAGGTAAGTATTTAAACTTTTCTAATTTTTAAATTTCCCTGGATAGAGGTGTGTGTTATCGAAGAAGGAAAAAGCAATACCCTAGGGATAACCCTTTTTCTATATGGAAAAGTCTATATATGCAGATAATTTAAAATTAGAATTGTATTTGTAATGTGGCCATCAGAAAGTGTTTAGCCATGGCCAGACCTGTTCCTGCAGCCTTGAATACAGAATTTTAACTTCAGATAAAGAAATAATTATGTCAGAAAAGTTCAAAGAAATCTTTAGTAAAATATGTCAGAAAAGTTCAAAGAAATCTTTAGTATAAATTTTAAAAATTTATACTGTTAATATTTAATAATAATTGTTATAGTGAAACAATTCATAGATTTATATTTGCAGCAAAAAGACTCAAAAGTGTTATATACTGTATATTCATTTGACACAATATTTCAACACAACATTCAAAAGATTAAGCAACTGACCCTAATTGAAAATACAATATATATTCCAACAAAAAATTTTACTTGAAACAACCATAAAATCATGAAACATTTTTATTAAACTACAATTTTACATATAAAATATGGGTTTCAAATATATATATAATATAGCTAGCTTCTAGTGACAAGTTAAAACTTATACAAATATGTATTTAAATCTATTTTTTCCTGCATCTTTTATTAATGATAACAGAAAGATACCTTCAGAAATAAATTTAAGAATACATTTTCTATATTAATTATAATGACTTATTCATTTGTTTATAGAGGGATATATATGCAATATAAATTCATAATAATTAAAAGTTTATTTGTACAAGGAATACTTGAAATTTAAAAAAAAATTCCTTCTACTGTAAGAAAATCTGAGCCTAATAATCAATACTTTTAATAATAAATTTTAATATACAGTAGAGCCTCAAACTTGGCCTAATGTGGACCGAAGGGTGGCCAAGTTTGTGAAAATGCTGGGTTATCGCGAATGGGGTTAAAAAAAATAAGTATGAGTGTTTCCTCAGAAAGTACTGTACTGTACTTGTATGTATTGTTTACTTGAGAATACAACAGAGAATAAACTGCCCAATACCCTTAAACAAAGGAAAAGTATGTCTTTTATGAAGGCATAGAGCCTTTACTACATGAAAATGAAAATTAATGAATACACTGTGTACAGTAATTTACCTGATAAGACAGACCTCAGAAAAATACTTTGAGGCATAAATTGCTCTTTTATAAAGCTGTCT